TCAATTATTATTCTTTTTTTTGGGTTTCTTAGGTTTTGGGCTATACTTTATTGGCTTAGTTGTCTCTGCCAAGTTATTTGTTACCGCTTGGGAAATTATCTTCCGATACTAAATTCACATTTTGTTGTCTTGGCATGTTTTTGTTTGAAAACTAGCCTTAGATCTGATCCATTTTTTTCGACATTTTCGATTTTTTGTTGTGTTGTACCGCAAGTGGTGCGAAACTCAGCTTCGCCTCTGTGTTCAAATTTTGCAGTTTTTTGAATTTTTGATTCCAAAAAGGCGCTAAAATACTCAAAAAAACTAACGTTCTCGAGTAAATTTAAATTTTTTTGTTTTAAAAGAAGCTTTTAAGCAATTTAGATAAGCTTTTGTAAGGCCTCTCGCTCGCTTTGTTCGCTCGACTCAAGGTAAAAACCAAAAATTTCAACCGGTTTTTCTCGACACTAATCACGACTGTAAGGGTTTGAATATGATATATCACTCAACTCTCGAAGATTTTTTGTTGGGAGAGGAGGGATTGAAACGGTATTTATAGTTTTGGGAAGAAAATTGGTGAAGCTGCATGTTAAATGTTTTTTATTTGCATCTAGAGAAATCAGAGGTTGACGGAAATGGCTGGAAGTAATTTGCGTAAATTATCTGACCCGTTAAAAAAGGATCGATCAATATTGCCTATAATGAGATTTGTTCTCCTCGGGGTGTTTCAATTGCTTATGCAGTCTTCACCCACCTCTGAAATATTCAATTAACTGAGCCTAATTCGAATTGACTTCCAGATTGTCCTGCCATCTAATGCATGCAGATCCATTTATTGTGACATCTAATCCGTGATAAATCCAGCTCAGCCGTGAAATGAAAAGGTGTCACGTGTTCGCAAATGGCTTAAAGTTAGTCTCCGTATCAACCCATCAAGTGGAATTATTTTCATCGAATTCAGGAGCTCCCTGAAGGTGCCAATTGCACATGAGTTTTTATTTGATAGTGTTATTGTATCTTCTTTTTGTGGGAACGCCTTCAATTTTGGATGAGCTAGAATAATATAGTTTTTTATCCTGAAAAAGAAGAGGAAATTGAATTGCGACCGAACATGTTTTAGTGAGAGCCGGACAGTTTTAGCAGCCAGATTGTTGCATGATGGCCTTTTAAGATGGTCCACAAATTTTATAATCTCACCATAAAGAGGCACTTCTCTCATTTTTAAGGCAAATATGTTCAAGTTAATTGGTCTTTTGCTCGCGTATTTCCATAATCATTCATCCGATCCTTCTTTTTCATGTTTTTTTATGGAAAGTTGAGTATAATCAAGAGCGAATATTTTGCAAATGATTTTTTTCCTTGATTAAAAGTAGAGATCACATGCAGCTGTTTTTTGTCTATCTGATGTTTTTTCGTGATTAGCTTAGCCTGCATTGATTATTCTGAATCAACGCCCCTATCCAGAGTAAAAATTTATCATTGTTGTACATTTTCTGAGGCCCTCCTGATTTAATCTTTTGATAAAGGAATAGATGATAGCAATCTTTATTCAAAGTGAGAAATAGCGGAGAAATTGGTGCTCAAATATGCAGAGGCTATTTCTCGCTTTGAATTTCTTGGTCTGAATAAACAGAATCTATTTAATTTTGCGGTTTGTAAATGAGCTTAAAATACAAAATTCAGTTTTTCAAAATGCGAGTTGTATCGTCTGCTGGATGAGAGCCCATTAGTGGTATCATTTATTTTGCTTTAGCCAGTGATTCTGTGGTTCAAATCAAGTTACAAGTGTTCGAGTTTCAAAGCTAGAGCTGCTTGAACCTCAGCTTTTGAACCTATTTTTAATGCATGCACCCACAAAGCACTCAATAGATTTTGAGAAATGAAATTTTAGAATTTAGACTTTTTCAAAGAATTGAATTTATTTACGAACTGAAATTTAAGGTCCATGATCGTAGTTCAGACTCTTCTATACGTCGTGATAATTTTTTTCAGGAAGATCTGAAAATTTAGGCTCAAATTTGATTTTTTTTTGCGGTTTGTATTTTGATTTCTTTTAAGGTTAGTTCATTTCCTGCGTAAAACAGAAGCACGAAAAAACCTGATATATTTCTAGTTTCGAAAATGGATTTTTTCATATTTCCCAGCGGAATAAAAAAGTTGACCTATTGATCCGGTTTTCTGAAATTGAGTTAAATTAATCATAAAAGTGTCAATCATAAATTGTTCTAAAAATTCAAAGAGCTTTAAGAGCTTATATTTTTTCTTTGAAATTCGATAAATGCGATTTTTTTTCAAATAATGTTTCGGGTTTTTTTTGGTTTACTTGCGTTCATTGACTCTTTTCCAACAATTTGTTGGCAATGTTTTTCGAGCCTTCTCCAGACGGCGTTGAAGAGGCAGTCTGATGTTTTACTGTTGGGAAGCTCTAAATTAAACAAGGATAGCCGGTTGATGTCGAAGATGCACAGAATGTTCCGACCAAAGTAAATTATTAAAAAATATTAAAAATTCGTAAAGAGTATTTTTTTCTATCTTACTGTTATTTTTCTTGGTAAAGAGTGGCTGAATAAAATGGAAAATTGCCCTAATAGCTTAAAAAATGATCAATTTGTAGAAGAGTTAATTTGATGATGTCAGCCTCTCAGCAAATTTTTTCAGCTCAGCCTTAAATCAAAGATCTTCAGACAAATTTTCCTCGACACTGAGACAGCTTTTTTGATTTTTTTTTTGAGATTCCAAGTCACGACCAATAGGTCTTCAATATGATACTACACTAGACCCACCTACGAGCTTCCCTTGTTAGTCAAAATGTGCTGGAAAATTAAAAAAAACGAGCTCTACTCCAGCGTTTTTTCCGCTCTTTGAGAGTGGAGGGAACAACAAGGATAGCGGTTTGCAAGTTGCACAAAATTTTCGGAACAAACCGGCTTAAGTATAAAAGTTCGAAAAAAAATCATAAAAATTAGAATTAAAAATGTAGTTTAAATTTTAGTTGTACAAATTCACTCTTTTCCTACAAAGGACGGTGGAATTGGGTGAAAATGCAAGAAAATGGTACATGTTTGAAATAACTTAGTGTTAATCTATTATCTATTATATATTTAAATGCGGGCTTCACTATGTCACCATGTTTAAGCTTTTTCAACGTATTATTTTTGCATGTTTAAGCTATATCGTATATTGCAATGGTTAAGAATTTTTTTTTTCGATTTTCCGATTTGATTTTAGTAGTTATTTTACCAAGATTAAATTAAGCAGCCCAATATCGTATTAGGGGTGGCAAGTTTGGCCTCCAATTTTGAATGCTCGAATCATTTTAGTTAACGAGATAAGACGATTTTTGAGATTTTTTCAAAAATTTTCAGAAATTTTCAAATAAAATAATTTACAAAACTTGAAGTTCCCAACCCTGTAGTTGGGTACTTTTAGAGTACTATCAAAGATTGCGAATCTTGCCTCCAAATGTGACTGCTCAAATCCTTGTAGTTTTCGAGATATGACGTTTTTTGTGATTTTTTCAAAAATTTTCAGAAAACTTAAATTATTATGATTTTTTAAAAATCTGAAATTCCCAACCCTGTAGTTGGGTACTGTCAGAGTACTATCAAGGATTGCGAATCTTGCCTGCAAATTTGACTGCTCAATTCTTTGTAGTTTTCGAGATATGACGTTTTTTGTGTTTTTAAAAATTTTCTGAAAACTTAAATTATTATGATGTTTTAAAAATCTGAAATTCCCAACCCTGTAGTTAAGCCCTGTCAGAGTACTCTCAAAGATTATGAATCTTGCCTCCAAGTATGACCGCTGAATTCTTTGTAGTTTTCGAGATATGACGTTTTTTTGTGATTTTTTTCAAAATTTTTCAGAAAACTTAAATTATTTTTATTTTTTTAAAATCTGAAATTCCCAACCCTGTAGTTAGGTGCGGTCAGAGTAGTATCAAGGATTGCGAATCTTGCCTGCAAATTTGACTGCTCAATTCTTTGTAGTTTTTGACATATGACGTTTTTTGTGTTTTTAAAAATTTTCTGAAAACTTAAATTATTATGATGTTTTAAAAATCTGAAATTCCCAACCCTGTAGTTAAGCCCTGTCAGAGTACTCTCAAAGATTATCAATCTTGCCTCCAAGTATGACCGCTGAATTCTTTGTAGTTTTCGAGATATGACGTTTTTTGTGATTTTTTTTTAAATTTTTCAGAAAACTTAAATTATTTTTTTAAAATATGAAATTCCCAACACTGTAGTTAGGTGCTGTCAGAGTACTCTCAAGGAACGCGAATCTTTCCTCCAAGTATGATTGCTCAATTCTTTGTAGTATCGAGATGTGACGTTTCTTGTGATTTTTTCAAATTTTTCAGAAATTTAAAATTAATTATTTAAATTTGAAATTCCTAACGCAATATTTCGGTGTTGTCAGGTTACTCTAAAGAGTTGCAAATCTTGCCACTTGCGACTGCTAAACGCGACTGTTGAATTCCTAACCCTATAGTAGGGTGCTCCTAACCCTATAGTAGGGTGCTCTCAGGGACTCTCATTGGTTGCAAATCTGGCCTCCAATTTTCCCCAGAGGCCCCATTAAGTTTTCGAGATGACGCTTTTAAAATGGGAATTTAAAAAAATTAAAAAGTTCGAAATTACCAACCCTGTAATTGGGTGCAGTCAGAGTACACTAAAAGTTTGCAGATGTTGTTTCCTATATATGCGGTTTTTCATAAGTTGTCGAAAAGTTTCGAAGCACCGGAGGTGCGTTAAACGCTAGTTTTTAAGTTAAGAGTGGCTGATTTTGGTGAAAAATTGCAATAATAATAGTAGCTAAAACGATGATGAACTTGTAAAATTAAATTAACGAGGGCATCGTTTCAGCAAATTTCGTCTGATTTAATCTGAAAGTCGAAACTTCAGACCGATTTTTCTTGTCACCGAGACAGTTAGTGACTTGGCAAGAGCAATGATATTGACGAATATTTATTTTGTTTCAATGTCTTGCCTGTAATTTTAATTGTTCTTGCTTTGTTTCAGCATCGTGGCGTTCTTGCTGCCGAATGAGAGTGGGGAGAAAATAGGCTTCTCAATCACGGTGTTCCTGTCTCTGTGTGTTAATCTGGTCGTCATAACCAGCTACGTGCCAGCCAGCTCAGAATCATTCCCCATCATAGGCAAGTCACATCCAACTAACACTCGAAAGCAGCATTTCTGTTGTCTTTTCTTCATTTCTTCATTTTTTTTTATACATCAGGTATGCGAACCACTGACAGTTCAAAGGGTCCTCATTTGTTACTTACTTAACACAATATTTTAAGTCGACCCATTGTTTTTGTGTTTTGTTTTAAACTTGCCCTGAAAATCAGTTTGCTCGAACTAAAAGCAAATCCGCTTCTCCCTCGACAAAATTCTAGATCGGAGCTTGGTTGTACAGTTGAACAAAAATTATTCAAAACGAACGTCTGTTTCAGGACAGTACTACCTGACGTGTATCTTCCTTGTGGCAGTATCCATAGTGCTGACCACGTGCATTCTCTCAGTGCACTACTTTGGAGATCAGTACTTCATCAAGCCCCTGCCGAAGCCAATCAAAAAAGTTTTCTTCGAAGTATTGGGACCCCTAGTCGGCATGCAATGTCTCAAACTGTGGTCTTCGTGTGTTCCACCTGCATCCAGCGTATTACCCGCTGGCAGCAAGAGAAAGACGCCAATCAACATCAATTTGACACAGACCTGGAAAAACCATAAGAGCCAGACCAACAGCAAAACTGGAATGCAACGGAAGAACAATGGCAGGGTGCCTTCTTTCAGTGGCGGAGGAGCGCGAGCTAAGAACTCGGCCACTGTTTTGAGAAACTCGAAGGTATCTTCCACTACCAATCATTTCGACCCGCTTTTGCAATTGAACTCAACATCTTTCTACAGCGAAAACAAGTATCCGACAACAAGATCCAACCCATATACCTCATCGCCCGACAAACGGTCAGGATCCGCAAGTCACGACATGATATCGCATGTGGACCCACAAACACCTGAGAGTAATCACCAGCCACCGAAACAGAATAAGCTCACAAACTCATGCAATCATTCATCTTCGGCAATGTACATTTCTTCGAGTAATAGCAAAAACGCCCACAGTACTGCTCCCTTTCTCGATGGAGCAGAAAATCAGATTGAGATCGCAAATGTAACTTCAAGTTTCCTTGTGCTGCCACAACAGGACGGGAGTGTGTCTTCCGGAAGTGTGGAGCAGGAGCTAAACGTCGTCTCTCATCACACGAGGGCACGGTTTGGCATAGCTGGCACAAAGAGCCAACGCAGATCATCTTTTACTGAGAGATCGCGATCAGTTTCCCCGGTAACTATTCTGGACGACACGAACCATTGCGACGATGTCACGGGAAGACTTCCGTGTGCATTTAGTGGTCTGGTTTCGTCTTTTGATGACTTGAAGCGATCCCTGGTGAAAATAGAGCATTACCTGGAGACTGTTGCAAAGGTAATTACAGTTCCGAAGTTTCGTGTTGTAGAGTAATTCCCGAAGTGCAGCTTCGCCTCTGTGTTACACTTGCGAGAGCAAGTAAGTGTCTTGTAATCGGGAACAAAACTTTTTTCCCGTAAACACTTTTTTTTACAAATCTGTACCAAATTGCGAAGTTGCTTTTTTAGTGAATCTTAGCAACTTCGAGGCTCCTTCCCACTTGGCCTAGAGGTATTGTGGTTGCGTTTGTACCCTAAGGTATCTGGGGTTCGAGTCCCGGCAGGACCTTGTTTATATCAGTATGTATGAAATTGGAATTTTTTTTGTCTGAATTTCGTTTGTCTGCTGATGTTTTGTCGGCTTAGCTGGCACATCGGGATTTTTTGTGCTGTCAGCAATTTTTGTCGTACATGCAAAAATTGTTCATTTTCTCCTGTAATTTGTAAAATAAATAGCCCTGATGATGTAGATTTTCATTTGTTGTCTTGTTTTTTCGCTCAAAGCTTTATTCGACTCAAATGGTTTCGGCTTTGTATTATCAGTTTAGTTACCTTATCCTTGATTTTTGTTTAAAAAATTCATTTTGTTTTGCAATTTTTCAAATCTGAGCAACTTTATTGCTCAGTTTTTTATGGCATCAATTTCTTATGATATTTTTTTGTTTTCGGCTCAATGGGCACCTACCCAATTTTGTCGGCTTGGTGGCTGCTTGGTAAACACTTAAAAAAATTTATACAGGTGGTTCTGGTTTTTCTTAATTTATTTCTATTTTCAAGTTTTTTTTCGATTTTTTTGTTGTTTCGTTTTCTGTTCGCTAGCCTACAATGCTGCGATGGCTTTGTGTCGCTAGTGATGCGAAACTCCGCGTTGTCTCTGTATAAAATGATGGACGTCTCTAGTGACGGTCTAATGACAGGTAAAAAAAGTACAAAGTTTTGTATTTCTTTTTTGTAATCTTGAAAACTATTATTATTATAAGACATGAACGTAGTGAATACTCTTATATAGGTCTTGGCGATGTTAATAGTCTTAAAAATTGTTCACACTAAAATCTGATTTTTTGCTGTTTGATTTTTGATGCCTTTTAAATGTTCACTTCATTTCCTTTGTTGATAGAAGGCAAACTCGACTATCGAACAGCAAAAATGAAAAATTCACGAAAAACGTGATCGACTTCTAGTTTCGAAAGTGGAATTTGTTTTTGAGATTTCCCAACAGAATAAAAATTTTGCCTACTGGTTGAGTGTTCTCAAATAGGGTTAACTTAATCGAAAAAGAAATTCGAGGAGCTCCTTTAAATGTCATTTATTTTTTTCTTCGAAATTCGGAAGTTGAAGTTATTTCAAAAACCAAGCAGTATTTTTTTCTTTCCTTACGTTCATGACTTTTCTCCAACTATCTGTTGGCTATGTGTATTGAAAGGCGCTGACTTTACGAAAACTATTTTGAAAAAAGTGCCAATTTTTCTAAACAGCTATGGGATTCTTTGTGACTAAGTTTATTTCGTTTTGATTTAGCTAACTCATTTGTTATAACCAAAGTATTGCCCCGCTTAAAGCCGAATTGGTAAAAAGCGGCCGATCAAGGAGTATAAGTGTCATCGTTTCAGAAATCTTGTCATCGTCTCAGAAGCAGTTGATATTCGCTTTTCCTGATCCCATAGAAAATGTTCATTGGGGTAAATGACAAAACAACAGTTTTAGTCTTATCTGGTAGGACATTTATTCGTCTTTTTTATCGCGCTTTTTGTATTTGTTTTTTTTGTGCTTGTTTTGATAGCATTTTATCGTTTGCTCTTCAATTTGGTTGTAATATTCGGTTTGTTTGCACAGCAACAGTTGAGTTGTTTTCTTTGTCTGGACTGCTGAAGACGCAATTTCGCGCCGACCATTTACAACTGACTCCTTTGACGTAGATCGATCCTTTCTATTAAAGAATTCCATTGCATGACTAAACTGTCGTTAGCACTTGAGCGCTTTTAGTAGGGGGCTTTGTTGAGTAAGCAATAATAGGTCGACATCGATTTAAATGTTTCGTCCTTAGAGGTCTTGATCTAAAATGTTGCCACCATGTTGGATTTAAATGAAAATATAAAGTTTGATATATGTGATCATACTTTGATAATATTACTGAAGTGACTCCTATGTTTAAATGTGGATGAACGGAGTGAGAACAAATTTAATTCGTGGTATGTTTGTTTTTTTTCTGACCTAGTCTAAAATTTTTATCATTCTTAGATTTGATTTTTCGCGGTTCTATTTTCAAATTCATTTGCTGAGAGAAAGGCAAATTACGCTCTCGAATACCGAAAACTCAAATGGCGCGTAAAAATTTGAGTTACTTCTAGGTTTGAATTTTTAATATTTCACAGCGGAAAAAATATTGACCCGTTTTCTTTAATTGGGTTAATTTTATGAAATAGGTGCCAATCCTTACACTAGCTAATGTAGTGTAATAGTACCTGTATTCTTTTTTTTCAAAGCTATGTCGCAAAAATTAGTCACGTTTTTGGTGGCGTTTTTACGACTTTTTGATATCATGTGCTTTAACATTCGATACGTAATAAGTTAACACAGTTAGAGCGTTTTTGATTCATCAAATGAACAGCAAAAAAGCTATGTTTCAAACAACAGTCCGAATATAAAAGCTGCATTTGATATATTTTCTAAATAGATATATTTCTCACTTTTTTGAAACGCATAATTTATACATAGTTTGACTTTGTGCTATCCAATTTATTACATGCAGTTTTTCCAAAATTTGGCTCTTTTCCAGTTTCTCCCCCTTTCAAATTCAACTTTGAAAAGCTTATTTAACCTTGTCATAATGCAATGAAATATGGCGTGGTGAACAAATCAACAACTGTGAATAGATTTTTTCTTCATACTTTACAGCGTAACATCACGCATTTAGCCGTAATAACACGTAAAACAAACATAAAACTCGGTTTTTTGAAAGGTGGGGGGCAAACTGGAAAAGAGCCCAAAATTTGATTTTAATGTTTTAAATTGGCGATCCTTTTGGCTGCAAGTCTCTTTTTAAATTAACGCTCCTTTTGGCTGCAAGGCATCGGCAATTTAAAAGCAGATGTAGCTGCTTTATTGATGGCTCATGTTGGTAATTTTTCAAGAGCTCGTGGCGTAGATGCGAGGACGTTCAAGACCAAATCTCCTGGTTTTAGGTTCGAATCCGCGGCTCTTTTCCAGTTTCCCCCCCCCCCTTTCATTTTTTCTGAAATTCACTACATGAAAGTCTTTTAAAAACAATCTTTAGTGTTGTAAACTGCATTAAAACGTATCAGCGTGAACAGCTGAACAAATTTTCACAACATTTCTAACATGAAAATTGCCGTGTGAACAATTTTTGAGCATCTCTTTTTGTAATTTAACAAAGGGGGGGGGGGAAACTGGAAAAGAGCCGAATCCGCCACAGCATATGTTCATATGTTAAAGGCTGATTTACTTTTTTCATTATTTTGTGCTCTCAAATTACAAGTTCAATTCAAATTCATTTGCTGAAAGGAAGACAAATTACGCTCTCGAATGCCAAAAATTCAAATGGAGCATAAAAATTTAAGTGACTTCAATATTCGAAAGTGTATTTGAGTTTTTATGATTTCACTGCCGAATGAAAATTACCTATTGACTTGTTTTTTTTTCATTGGATCATTTTTATGATATAAGCGCTACTCCAAAATGGTTAAAATTCCATTTAATCAATTTCAAATTTGCTTTTTCGCCATTCGATTTTTTTATTAGGAGTCGATGAACGTAGTTCAGACACTTATATAAGTCGTGTTGTTTTTTTTTCACGAAAAGTAGTCATAAAATTGTTTTCTGGTTCAGTTTTACTCTTTCGTGGTTTGACTTATACTTTCTTTAAGCTATGTTATTTTCGTTTGTCCAAAGTGGAAATTAGTTTTCATTCTTCTCAGGGAAATAAAGAAGGTTGAACATGTTGAAAATATTTTGAGATTGATTGATTTTGAAAATCCGGTGTATTCGAAAATTGCTTTTTAGATGGCTTGTAATTTTACCAACTTGTATTTTGTCAATTTCATTTTTCAATTTTTTTCCTTTTGTTTTTTCTTGGTTAAATAAAATTTGGCCTACATATTTTCAACAATTTGGCTTCATATTGCGTCCCTCAATAATCAAAAAATGTGTGCTTGTATGTAATCAAGGAGATGGGACTTGAACAGCTTTTTAATTCTTCAGTTTTCAAGGCTTGTTTCGTTTTAGTTTTTTTTTCTTTTTCTTGGTTTTAGTCTTAAAAATTGTTCACACTAAAATCTGATTTTTTGCTGTTTGATTTTTGATGCCTTTTAAATGTTCACTTCATTTCCTTTGTTGATAGAAGGCAAACTCGACTATCGAACAGCAAAAATGAAAAATTCACGAAAAACGTGATCGACTTCTAGTTTCGAAAGTGGAATTTGTTTTTGAGATTTCCCAACAGAATAAAAATTTTGCCTACTGGTTGAGTGTTCTCAAATAGGGTTAACTTAATCGAAAAAGAAATTCGAGGAGCTCCTTTAAATGTCATTTATTTTTTTCTTCGAAATTCGGAAGTTGAAGTTATTTCAAAAACCAAGCAGTATTTTTTTCTTTCCTTACGTTCATGACTTTTCTCCAACTATCTGTTGGCTATGTGTATTGAAAGGCGCTGACTTTACGAAAACTATTTTGAAAAAAGTGCCAATTTTTCTAAACAGCTATGGGATTCTTTGTGACTAAGTTTATTTCGTTTTGATTTAGCCAACTCATTTGTTATAACCAAAGTATTGCCCCGCTTAAAGCCGAATTGGTAAAAAGCGGCCGATCAAGGAGTATAAGTGTCATCGTTTCAGAAATCTTGTCATCGTCTCAGAAGCAGTTGATATTCGCTTTTCCTGATCCCATAGAAAATGTTCATTGGGGTAAATGACAAAACAACAGTTTTAGTCTTATCTGGTAGGACATTTATTCGTCTTTTTTATCGCGCTTTTTGTATTTGTTTTTTTTGTGCTTGTTTTGATAGCATTTTATCGTTTGCTCTTCAATTTGGTTGTAATATTCGGTTTGTTTGCACAGCAACAGTTGAGTTGTTTTCTTTGTCTGGACTGCTGAAGACGCAATTTCGCGCCGACCATTTACAACTGACTCCTTTGACGTAGATCGATCCTTTCTATTAAAGAATTCCATTGCATGACTAAACTGTCGTTAGCACTTGAGCGCTTTTAGTAGGGGGCTTTGTTGAGTAAGCAATAATAGGTCGACATCGATTTAAATGTTTCGTCCTTAGAGGTCTTGATCTAAAATGTTGCCACCATGTTGGATTTAAATGAAAATATAAAGTTTGATATATGTGATCATACTTTGATAATATTACTGAAGTGATTCCTATGTTTAAATGTGGATGAACGGAGTGAGAACAAATTTAATTCGTGGTATGTTTGTTTTTTTTCTGACCTAGTCTAAAATTTTTATCATTCTTAGATTTGATTTTTCGCGGTTCTATTTTCAAATTCATTTGCTGAGAGAAAGGCAAATTACGCTCTCGAATACCGAAAACTCAAATGGCGCGTAAAAATTTGAGTTACTTCTAGGTTTGAATTTTTAATATTTCACAGCGGAAAAAATATTGACCCGTTTTCTTTAATTGGGTTAATTTTATGAAATAGGTGCCAATCCTTACACTAGCTAATGTAGTGTAATAGTACCTGTATTCTTTTTTTTTCAAAGCTATGTCGCAAAAATTAGTCACGTTTTTGGTGGCGTTTTTACGACTTTTTGATATCATGTGCTTTAACATTCGATACGTAATAAGTTAACACAGTTAGAGCGTTTTTGATTCATCAAATGAACAGCAAAAAAGCTATGTTTCAAACAACAGTCCGAATATAAAAGCTGCATTTGATATATTTTCTAAATAGATATATTTCTCACTTTTTTGAAACGCATAATTTATACATAGTTTGACTTTGTGCTATCCAATTTATTACATGCAGTTTTTCCAAAATTTGGCTCTTTTCCAGTTTCTCGCCCTTTCAAATTCAACTTTGAAAAGCTTATTTAACCTTGTCATAATGCAATGAAATATGGCGTGGTGAACAAATCAACAACTGTGAATAGATTTTTTCTTCATACTTTACAGCGTAACATCACGCATTTAGCCGTAATAACACGTAAAACAAACATAAAACTCGGTTTTTTGAAAGGTGGGGGGCAAACTGGAAAAGAGCCCAAAATTTGATTTTAATGTTTTAAATTGGCGATCCTTTTGGCTGCAAGTCTCTTTTTAAATTAACGCTCCTTTTGGCTGCAAGGCATCGGCAATTTAAAAGCAGATGTAGCTGCTTTATTGATGGCTCATGTTGGTAATTTTTCAAGAGCTCGTGGCGTAGATGCGAGGACGTTCAAGACCAAATCTCCTGGTTTTAGGTTCGAATCCGCGGCTCTTTTCCAGTTTCCCCCCCTTTCATTTTTTCTGAAATTCACTACATGAAAGTCTTTTAAAAACAATCTTTAGTGTTGTAAACTGCATTAAAACGTGTCAGCGTGAACAGCTGAACAAATTTTCACAACATTTCTAACATGAAAATTGCCGTGTGAACAATTTTTGAGCATCTCTTTTTGTAATTTAACAAAGGGGGGGGGGAACTGGAAAAGAACCGAATCCGCCACAGCATATGTTCATATGTTAAAGGCTGATTTACTTTTTTCATTATTTTGTGCTCTCAAATTACAAGTTCAATTCAAATTCATTTGCTGAAAGGAAGACAAATTACGCTCTCGAATGCCAAAAATTCAAATGGAGCATAAAAATTTAAGTGACTTCAATATTCGAAAGTGTATTTGAGTTTTTATGATTTCACTGCCGAATGAAAATTACCTATTGACTTGTTTTTTTTTTCATTGGATCATTTTTATGATATAAGCGCTACTCCAAAATGGTTAAAATTCCATTTAATCAATTTCAAATTTGCTTTTTTGCCATTCGATTTTTTTATTAGGAGTCGATGAACGTAGTTCAGACACTTATATAAGTCGTGTTGTTTTTTTTTCACGAAAAGTAGTCATAAAATTGTTTTCTGGTTCAGTTTTACTCTTTCGTGGTTTGACTTATACTTTCTTTAAGCTATGTTATTTTCGTTTGTCCAAAATGGAAATTAGTTTTCATTCTTCTCAGGGAAATAAAAAAGGTTGAACATGTTGAAAATATTTTGAGATTGATTGATTTTGAAAATCCGGTGTATTCGAAAATTGCTTTTTAGATGGCTTGTAATTTTACCAACTTGTATTTTGTCAATTTCATTTTTCAATTTTTTTCCTTTTGTTTTTTCTTGGTTAAATAAAATTTGGCCTACATATTTTCAACAATTTGGCTTCATATTGCGTCCCTCAATAATCAAAAAATGTGTGCTTGTATGTAATCAAGGAGATGGGACTTGAACAGCTTTTTAATTCTTCAGTTTTCAAGGCTTGTTTCGTTTTAGTTTTTTTTTCTTTTTCTTGGTTTTAGAAGTTTCAGCCTACTTTAAATCCGCTTATTGGCCACATTTTTGTCGTTTAATGAGCAAACATTTGTCTGCGTTTGTATGTTTTGAAAGAAATGGGGCTTTTTCAACTTTTTATTAGTTCTAATTTTTTTTTCGAATTTCATTTTTTTTGTTTCCTTTTCTCGGGTTAATAAGTTTCGGTCTAATGGATATCATCTTATTGGCCTCATATTTTGTCGTTTGATGACGAAAAAAGTTCTTGTGTGTATTGAGGGAAGTGGAATAAAAACTTTATTAGTTCTCAAGTTTTTTTTTGGATTTTTTCGTCTGAAAAGGATTTTCTCTCAAGTGTTTTCGGCTTGTTGACAGCTTGTTAAGATTTCTGCTGATTGAATTTCACCTTACTTTGTCTTACTGTGAGTTTTTGATACGTTTTTATGTCGTTTTGATAGATTTCGGTATTTCTGTTTTTTTTATTTAGTGGCTTTTTTGCATTGTATCGGAAGTGGTGCGAAGCTCCTTTTCGCCTCTGTGTAAAATTTTTGAACCATCTTATTTTTTTTCAATTTATTTGTGAATTTTTGGCATATAAATGCAATATTCAATGGGTTTGTCAGCACCTAGTCCAGTCGTAGGAGCTATTGTTTCGGGGTTAAACTGCTAGAGGCAGCAATTTTTTTTTAATTCGATGGAAGACAGTGTGTTTAAACGTCTCCGGGAGGCTGCAAGACGTCTTTGCACAAAAAATATACTAGAAAGTCAAGGATGTTTGCTGCTCAAGGATCTTTTTTTTGTTTGAAGTTCGAAAGTTGAGTTTTTTCCAATTGTCTGTTGGCTGTTTTTTAGTTGGCTGTTTTTTCGTTTCCAGTTCGATTCGTTTGCTGAAAGGAAGGCATTTTTTTCTTACAAAGCGAAAATTCAAATTACACAAAAACAACTTCTTGTTCGGAAAGTGGATTTCAGTTCTTATCGTTTCCCAGCGATATCATGAATATAAGTTTTGATCCATGTATCTCTAATTGTGCTAGTTTTTTCAAATAAGAACCATCATTAAAGGTTTTTGAATTTGAAAGAGCTTAAAGGCGGTGTATTGTTTTTGGAAATCTATTGTTGGCATTTTTTTTATTCAAAAATCATCTTATCCGGTTTTCTTGTTCATTGAAACATTTGCCGGGTAGTCTGATCAATAGTTGTTTTTTTTGTGTTATAGTTGTTTTCGCCTATTAAGAGTATTGAACGTAGTGAAGACTTTTATGCAGGTCTTGGTCATTTTTTTTGTTTTTTTTTCCGGAAAAAGTCCGAAAATGCTCTAATAACTAGAGATTGTGCATTCATGCATTTTGATGCATTTATGAATGCACTTAGGTGTATATGCACTTTTTAAGCTCAATTGAATTTTATCTGCTGAAATTGAGGTAAATAGCACTCTCCAAATGCGAACGTGGAAATGGCGCGAAAAAACGAACAATTTCTAGTTTCGAAAGTGGAATTTATCTTTTCAGATTTCCAGCGGAATAAAAACTTTAACTGTTGATCCAGTTATCTCAAGTTGGCAATATTATCAAAAAAGTGCCAATCATAAATCGTTCTAGAAATTCAAAGAGTCTAAAGGGCATCTGTTTTTTTTCTTTGAATTTCGAAAGTTAAGATTTTTTCAACAAATTGACTGTTTTTTGGTTTACTTGCGTTCGTTACTCTTTTCAAATCTTCGATTGGCTATCTTAATTTATTGCTTTTTTGTCGATGAACGCAGTGACCCTATATAAGTGATAATTTTTTTCCAGGAAAAGTTTTGAAATTTTTTCACGTTTAGATTTAATTTTTTGCTGTTTGACTTTCGATTTCTTTCAAAGTCTCAAGACGCGAAAAAACCTGAGGTACTTCTAGTTTCGAAAATGGATTTTTTTTAGATTTTTCAGCGAAATAAAAAAAACTTACCTTCTGATGTTGGCTATGTTTTCAATAAAACCTTAAGGTAATATATGTTTTCCTATATATTTAATACACTCACTGTAAGCTGTTTTGGATTAATCACTGCGTGATTACTAGACAGCAGTTAGTTTTTGAGGTATGTTGCTTGAATTCTGCAGTGGAGCTCGATCCCGTATTTGACGAGAGAAAGATGGCAGTGGTCATTTATAGGTTTAGATGCTTGAAGTGGCATAGTGATGCTTTGTTGTGTATTAATAGGCGAACGAGAAGAAGAAGCGAAAGTGTATCACGATTGAGGAGTGGAAGCTGTTGTCGCGTATACTGGACAGGATCTTCGCCGTGGCTTATGGACTAACTACCCTTCTGTTGACCTGTTACTTCTTCGTACAGGCCAAGAGTGGACAGGTGGAGCTTGCCAAGGAGTGCATCTACTCGGACTGATCTCTTTCCCACCTCAGAGAAGAACACAAAACAAAGAATATAACATCACTCCCTTCTAGGCAAACACCGAAGCATAATTTGTCATCAGATGTGAATCATCACAATCCCGGCCGCCAGTCTTAGTCAGCCATGACATGAAGACATTTGAACAAATGGCTGACAATAATTCAAATCATGAAGAAAGAAATGTTACCAGAGAAGATTAAGAAAAGTGTTATGACGTTGTAAAGTTCGGAAACTGCAACCAATAATTGGCAAAAAAAGATGCTTCTCGTTGTTTTAGAGTCGGGCTGAGACATTCTCTGACATTGGCTCCAAAAATTGCTTTTTTTTGTCTTAAAAAAGCTCCTACTTAAAATTATTCTTGGTTAAATCAGGTGATTTGTGGCTACTTCTGGATCATTTACAATTATTATACATTTTTAGAGAAGTTTGTTGGCGGACTTTGTCGAAGGTGGTTTCATAAAATCAGATGTTCAGAATTTGGAAATAAAATAGTTGTCGAACTGAAGTCTATATAAATAGATAAATATTTTGATAGAATTTATTTAATTAAATTTATCTCAGCTGAGAACGGATGGGCGACCTGGGGGTAAATTTACGTTTGAACTTCCGCTTGGGCTGACGCTTCTGGTCAAGTAACCTTATTTAATGAGTTGGAGCTATTCGAGTATGACTATCAGCGAATTCCAGATATAATCGAAAACTCTAACTTCTGAAAGACATTAAAATGCAAATAATTTATCATGTTGCGTAGAATTCAAGCTGGTAAGCGACAGCTTAAATTAGTGAAAGCCCTTCTAATTTAAGTTGGCTGCAGGGAAACAGTTTGATCTATTTGAGAGCACTGTGGTTTGAAATTGTCAATCTTCATTATCGTTGCTGTTGCATGCAGATGGTACACCAATCGCGTGAATTCAAATTTGTTCCTTCTCTGGATCGAAGAAATTAAAATGACATAGTTTGACTTATTGACGCTGAGGTCAACGATACTCTGACCTGTTAGATTTTCAAAGTTACAGCGAAAGTGCATCAGCCAGGCTGACTAAGTTTATATATTTGAAGACTGGTATATATAAGTCTTTATTTGGTCTATAATTTTCAGCATGTTTCTTGTTACTGTTTGTAGTAGAGTTAAAAGCAACACATTCAAATGGTTGTATATCAATTGTCTAATAGAATGTTGAATAATAGAAGACTAGAGCTCGGTATATTTTTTCTCCACGTTTTTTCATATTTTTCTGACGGATAATTATGTACCATCTAAAAGGGTTGACCGTCTGCCCTGGGCTCAAAATTGGAAAGATGTTTAGGTTCAATCTAAAGGGCGGGTTGCGGAAAGCTGCTTTGCATTCACGAATATTTTGAAATTTTTTGACACAAAAATTTATGGAATTGATTTTTTGATCGTCTTTATAAACTTTTTGACTTTTCTCGAGAACTACCCTGCTAAATCTGGGCTTTTGGGATCAATCGAATTTTCAGATCGAATTTCTTCTGCGTCGAATTTTCAGGTCGAATTTAAACAAAAAACTGATTCTCAGCTATGTCAATTTTCTGATTCGTTGACCGTTTTTGGACTTTTCATAGATTTAATCGGCGCAACAGTTTGTTGAAAGATTACCTTTCTATATTGCTACGTTCAGTTTTTTTGAAAAAACTTTTGGTCTTCAAACAAATGAAAGTTATGAAACTTTGACTGTTTTTTGGAAGTTTTTTACTTTTCTCGAAAATTCTTAGGTTAAGTTATCAATCGAGAAACTCACTTTTGGGAACCTTATCTGATTTAACGGCCACTACCTGCTTTTAGCAGAAAAAAAAAACGATTTTGGGTTGTCAAGTTTTTGAACTTTGACCGTTTTTTGGAAACTTTTTGAATTTTTTTAAAAACTACCCTATGAAATAGATTAAAAATTATATCGAATGAAGCAACGGTTGCGCTATTTTTATTGCAGAAGCGGTGACTCCTTAATTTTCCAGTTTTCGAAATCGCTATTTAAATTTTCGCATCAGTTTAGCAACGTCAAAAAACATTAAACAATCACCTTCATCTTTAGCTGGGATCTACATGTCCGTCATCGAGACATACGAAATTTTTGGTTCGCCTAGTTTTTTCAACCTTTTTCAATTTTTTTACTTGTTTTTTTTTGTATGATTGTGTTGTAACGCAAGTGGTGCGAAGCTCCTCTTCGCCTCTGTGTCTAAGCTTTTTCTCCGGATTGTAACCACTGTAAAACAGGTTGGACGTATTCAATTGAGGCGAGCTCTCTACTAAGGCCCTCTTTGTCAACTATAGTTTTCGATGGTGCAAATTGAACTATTGAACCTGAGTTTCCGTCATTTTCCTTTGCTTATTGTTTTTGCTGCTTGCTTCATACTCTACCTGATTAAGTGCCGATGACTGCAGTTTATACGTTAAGATGATTTTTAAAATGTTCATCTGGTTTTCTCAAATTGTGTTAAATTTATCCAAAAATAGTTAATATAAATTAATCTTAAAATTTTGAGAACTTTGAGGGCATATTAATAATTGTTGAAACTCGAAAGTAAAGGTTTTCAAAACTGCGAACTGCGAAGTTTTTTTTCGATTTATTGCGTTCTGCTTTGGTATTTTTTGCATACAGAAAGTATTAATGTGAGAAAATTGAGGGGCAGTCCTTAATGTAGGTAATGTAGGTTATCACTTATTGAGGTCCTTTGTTTTAGCGGGTAAATTTTGTTTTTCTGGAAAAAAGTTTGAAATTTGTGCTCAATTTTGTTCTCGAACTGTTTGATTTTCGGTTTATTAAGAGTAATGAACGTTTACATTGTCCAATAGCAATAGTTGAAATAGCGCAAATAAAAGTGAATTACTTTTAATTTCAAAATTTGACCTCAATTTTTCCCGAGCAGAATTTACGAAGCCACCTTTTCACCTAATTTTTCCTAATTGGGTCAGGTTTATGGAAAAGAAATGTCAATTATAAAAGATAGATGAAGATCAAATTTTTTCTAGAAACCTCGAAAACTGAAAAATGTCTAAAGAAATTATGTTTTTTGGTTTCCTTGAACTCATTGATATTTTTCCGATTATCTGTTAGTTTTTATACAAGCGGAGCGTAATGTCATATTACGTTATCCATTTTTTTCCAACCCAAGTCACAAATAAAAGTCATTATTTGGTGACACCTTTCCATTTTTATAAATATTTAATTTCTGCTCCATAGCTTTTGTGTATCTGGTTTATTAGTGACTAGTTCTTAATTGATTAAAAAAACAGGTATTATAAAATGTATGGGATTTGGTTTTTTATGATTTTTTTTATAAAGTTTTTGCAGTTTTCGTTAGAATTTTAATTTTTCTTGAGACCGATTTTCAAAAAAGTAGTATCAAGGGAGAAATCGGCTACTCACCTAAATGGCTAATTTTTGACCATTTTTTTGGATTATTTCCTTTTTTTTCGAAAACTACCATGACAAATCTGAGAGTAAACGTTCAATCAAAGATCTTGTCTTTGGGATCTTGTTTCGTGTTTTTTTTATTCATTTGTTGACCGTTTTGCAGCTACTTTTTGCGTTATTTCGCTTGTTAGCGAAATGCAGCTTCGCCTCTGGGTCTTAATCATGAATTTAAGTGGCTTCTATTTTTAAATCGTATGCAGAAAAAAAAACAAATTGAGAGTCGATGAACGTATTTTAGACTCTTAAATAGGTCGGAGAGTTTTTTTTTAGGAATTGTTCAGGCTCAGTTTTACTTTTTCGTGGTTTGACTTCTGGTTTTCCTTATTTAATATAAGTTTCGTTTGCGAAAAGTAAAGCAAACTACCCTAGCGAACATCAAAATTGTAAAGCTTACGAATAAAGTGATCGACTTTTAGTTGTGAAAATGGAATTTAATTTTCAGATTGGTCTAGTTTTAATTTCATCAAAAAGTGAAATTCGAAAAGCTTCAAAGGTAGATGTTTATTCTGAAGTGCGCAAGTTGAAGTTGTTTCAAAAACCAATCAGTCTTTTTTCTCTTTCCTAGCGTTCCGTAAACAACTTTTCTTACAAATCTGTACGAAATTTCGAAGTTGCTTCATAAGTGCAACAAAGCAATCAATTGCACCAGAGTATAGTCTTCCAGACCTTTACTGAGGGGGTCTGAAACACCAGGATCTGACTCTCAAAAGGGTGTCAAAGTGCCTAACCACACACCTTACAAGTCCAAATCATCTTTCGGGCATAGTGCGCTGTAAATGACATCATTTAGCACAGGGCTTAACATGCCTTGTGTGTCACCCTCATGCGGCTATTTCAGAAAAACCCGTGGTCATTGGGATGATAACAATGAGTTTTTTAAACTGCCGGACTGGCTTTAGAACACAGTCAGCCCAATCTGGTCTGTTCAGACAGAAATAGGGCTTGCTTTGGACATACCAAGTTATGAATGCCAGTGGCTTCCAAGACCGATCTGGCAGCTGGTCAACTACCGTCAACCTTGCATCGTCATGCAAGAATTTTAATATACCACCCGAAGGATTGAACTGTTAATCTTCAATCACTTTTGGTTGCGGGGCAAGGAGCGCGATCATTAGCCTTATACAGAGCTCGGTCCTAGACTCCGGTCATTTAGTGACGTATACGTTGCCCGGGACCCACCACGCGGAGGTGATGGTTCGTGTTCTCTCTGGGTCCCAGGCCTAGAGGGAATGTGTTTGTCTCTGTATCCAAAGTTTTGGGGTTCGAGTCCCGGTCGGTCCTTGTTTTTTTTTAATATTTGTGGAATTAACACAATTTTTCCGGGAAAAACTGAATAGTCGTAATTTTAATTGTCCGCTTTTGTTTTGTCGTTTTAAGTGCTACATTGAAGAGTTTTCTTTTGCGGCCAGTAATTTCTGTCGTTGGTGCAAGTGTTTTTAATCTGTTCCTGTACGTTATAAAAATTATTAGCCTGACTGTTTTTTGTTCCGACCATTGAAAATGGGGAGGAACTTTGTATTCAGGCGTTTTAAGTTTTTTTTTCATCTTTTTGTTTTCCACGCAAAATCAGTTACCACAATTAATCATCGGACACGGTTGAGTGATATATCATATTAAAGCTCTTTCAGTCGTGATTCGAACGACATAAAAAATTTCAAAAAGGTTTTCAGTGTCGAGAAAAACCGGTTTCAAATTTTTGCTTTCTTGGTATAACTTCGAGCTTATTAGTAAGGTAGTTAGTAATTGCAGTAGCTTATTAAGCTTAATTTAAGCCGTGAAAACTTAGTTTTACTCAAGTAAAGGTAGTTTTTAGCGCAATTTTGGGAATAAAAACTTTGTGCTACTTGGACAGAACCGGCTATCCTTGTTTTTCTTTGTTTTTGTTTCTCTTAAAAGTTTCATTCAACCTAAATGTTTTCGCTTTTATCGGCTTAGTTACCTTGATTTGTGAGGCTTCTAGGGTATAAAATGATTTATTGAAAAATCAGGTAGTTCTCTGCAAATTTAAAACTTTTAAATGTTAATTGCTCTAAAAATAATTATTTCATTTATTTCTTATGGCATTTTTGTTTTTGGCTCAATGAGCGGCTTAGAGAGGCTCTTTTTGACACAATGAACAAATTGTTGGCTCAGTGGCATCCCGTTAAAAAATAGATAGATTTTTGTCGTGTTTCTTGATTATTTTGAATTTTTTTCTCTCAAAATAGTTTTTTTTTTTCGATTTTGTTATTTTCGTCTCTTTCTATTTGCAGTGCTGTGCTTGCGTTGTATCTCAAACTATGAGAAGCTCCGCTTGGCCTCTTCGTCAAACAAGTGCCTATTCTAAATTGTTCTGTAAATTGAAAGAGCTTTAAGGTCGTCCATTTTTTTTTCTGCGAAATTCAGAGATTTTCTGTCAAAAAAAAAACAAGTCCGTTTTTCTGTTGATTTGCTTTCATTGAATCTTTTCCAACTGTCTGTTGGCTATATTTACTTCTGCAAAAGCAAGTGTCGTGTAAAAAAAAACATTTCAATTGCTTGTTGGATCGTTAGGTTTTGCGGTCTTACGTTGTTTTATCTCAGTGTTTTTCAATGAAACAATTAATGAAATTACGCTTATCGAGAAGGGCGAAGTTTTGATGATATTGCATCAATAATTGTGGTATTGGTTCCCTATTTGATGTTATAGCCTCATTTCAGCCATACCATTTGTTGTGGTTATACTTTGCTGACGATTTCGTTGTTAACGAAAGACTTTTGCGTCTCAACCTATAATGAGACAAAACTTTGAGGGATTGGCAGATCTCACTGTTTTTTATATATATTATTGTAGCTCGATTTTCAAATTTGCTTGGGGAGCTAACCAAACAAGTTATGTTTAAGTAAAAGAACTGTTTGACCTGATAAAAAAGCTGCTGTTTTTCAATAATTTAGTTGACAAGCTCATGTCGTATTAGCATTAGATAAATTATGTTCCACTGGCAGAGCTGAGAGTACTTGGACGCAATGTGGTTCACGGACGGAAAACAATGAAACAATCTTTCATTGTTAATTTAGATGGTTAAGTTACGGTGTTCGCAACTGTACTTATGGGTGCAGTGCAGCCTTATAAAAGTTACAGAAATTGAGCTCCATATTTCCGTCCTACTTGAAGTACCACTAAGGTTTCATGACTTGCATGAAACAGAGCCAATATGTACAACACCAATACGACATGCATAATACATTTATCCGATTATATACATAGGGGTGTATCTTAAAAAAGGCAATCAAATCATAATTATTTAACCTTAGGACCAATGAGTTCAAGGAAACCGAAAACAAAAAATTGAAGTTCCAATGTAAAAGAAATATATCACCCTAAAGCTCCATGAATTTTAGGATTATGATACAAAGCTAATTTGAAAAAACTGGAAAAGATTTCAAAGTCCGTTTTGAACGGAAAGTAATTCAAGTTTTTCGATTTTTGATGAGCGCTATTGGGTTTCCTCTTTACCTTTGCGATAAGCAAGGGTATTGCAATCGGGTACTAGACCTTTTCCCATTGATAACTTTGTTAACAGGACTCATCTGGACTCCTGGTGGTACCTTGGCTCCTAATGAATTCAAATTTCCTTGTGTCTCTTGCACAGTTAGCCTGAAGGTAGCGAATACGCCTGGGAAGGTAAATATCCTGGGTTCGAATCTGACCAGGACTTGTTTTTTTCGAACGAGAAATATTCATTTTCAAAAAAATGGTCGGCCTTATTGTCTGCGGTCTAAGGATTATTTATTTTTGCTGTGAACAATTTTCATCGTAGTTGCCTTTATTGTTTTAGCATTCTAAAAACGCTGCCGAATCTTGGTTATTTGAGGTTTTTTGGCATCATGGTTCCCGTTCAGGTATTTTCGGTTTTGGGAAGGCTTGCTAAGGCTTTTTTGATTCTGTTTTTGCATTCCATTGTCAGGGCATTTTTTTTTTCAAAACTATCTTAATCCGTTTTGATAGATCCAGTTTTATGTATGATTATGAGCTATCGGTATTACTTTTTTGCTGTTGGTTTTATCGGCTTTGTGATTTTCGATTAAGCTCTCGGTTTAGTTTCCGAATTGTGTATATCACCTTGCATTCAGTACATGTATAGCTTTCGTGGATAGTGTTTGGGCAGTTGATGCATTTTTCTAATACGATTTTGCCGAACAGTTTTGTTTGTTTTTCAGCTGTCAGCTTTAATGCTGTCGACTCATCTACCTAATTTTTTGTTTCCTCCCGTTTCCTACAACATTGTGATAATATTCATGAGATTGATAAGACTTTGGCCTCAAGCTTTTTTCAAGTTTTCAATTTCAACTTAATTTTTAATAAATTTAAACATGCAAAAATTTAGATTTTTTTGTTTTTCTAGTTCTTCAACGGCAACAGCGTTCCAAGTCCTCTTTGATAATTCTTGAGTCTCTTGCTGTTTTATTCCTGTACTTGTTGTGTTACCAGTGGTGCGAAGCTCAGCTACACCTGTTTAACAAATTGTTTTCATTTGATTTTGAAAATCAAGTCAAGCCACAAAAAAAAATTGCATCGTTTTTTTTTCACTTCGTTACTTGAAACGTTGAAATAGATAATTTCTAAACAACTGGATTAAAAGATATTTTTTTATTCCGCAGAGATATTTATTTTATAAGATATTCCTTTATTTTTTGTAAGAAAAATGTTGTCCCTGGGAAAACTGTTATCTAAAAAGTTTTCAGTCTTCTTACTTATTTTAGTAGAGAAACAACTAAGGTTTTCGGCATAGTCCACTTTTTGAAATCGCACATTTGGTCAACCATCAGTATTACAAGTTTAAACAATATCAAACACCTCCAGCTGCGCACCTAGTTGTTTTTTATCGAGACATGAGAAAATTTTGGTTCACTTAGTTTTTTCAACGTTTTTCGTTTTTTTTTCAAGTTTGGTTTGTATCGCAAGTGGTAAGAAGCTCGGCTTCGCCTCTGTATTGGATAATCCTGTGAAAAAAAAATACATTTTAAACCTGTTTTTATCAAACTGGGAATTGGAATTGAGTTAGCTTATCAACAAAGCCCAGAAATGAAAGTTTTAGGAATTGAAAAAACTTCAAGGTCAATTTGAAGGAATATTGATACTTTTTCAAAACTGTTATATTTTTCTGCGTCAATGAGCGAAGTGCAGACATTTATATAGGTCGTTTGGTTTTAGCAGGAAAAAATTTTGAAAGTGTTTCCAGCTCATATTCTAAAAGGAAATTAAATAGCGCTCTTCAGTAACCCAAGTGCAAATAGCGCTCATCAATAGCCACACTGCAAATCGAGCAAAAAAATGAATCATTTTCAGTTCAAATAATCAAAAAACGTTGTGAAGACTCTTAAAATAGGGCGTCATGATATTTTTTTTCGAAGATATAATTTCTTTGAAGTTCTGTTTATTTACTTTGTTTAAAAAAAGCCAAAATTCTTTATCGAACAGTGAACGTGTAAAGGTCACGAAAAACGTGATCAAATACAGTTTCCAAAGGGATAGTAGTTTTTAGATTTCGCCATGGAATGAAAAAGTTACCTATTGGTCCAATTTTTTCAAATTGGGTTATTTTTATCAAAAAAAATTTTCTTGAAACTAAGAGCTTTAAGCCTTCCATCTTTTTTTTACTTTGAAATTTGAAAGCCAGTATTTTTTGGTATCCTTGAGTTAATTGTCTTTTTATTCATTGTTGTTGACTATGTTTTTGATACTCAATGACGTCGAATGGTTTTGGCGGTGATAAAAAATTATTGATGATTCATTTTGCTCATAATGCAGATAATAATGGGTTATTTTCAGTTTTTTGAACAATTTGATGTGTGTTTGTGTGTAGAACCAGGAGGAAAAGCATGCGCTGAGGATTGGACTGGAGCAGGTGGTGGACGACTACTGGAGACAGTTCCAGGCGGAACTGAACAACTACAAGGAGACGACAGAGCAGCGGAAGAAACAGTTCGAGGAACTCAAGGCCAAGGACGAGGCCAACTCGAGGGACATCGAGAGCCAGATGAAGAAGATACACCGCATACAGGTCAGTCCACTCCATTCACTGAAGCCCCCTTCACAATATCCAGTCAGATGTCCACTCCACTAAATAGCATGCATGAATGTCATGTATGCATGACAGGTGGATTTAGTGGAATGAATTCTCTCACATATTCATCAAGAGCTTGATCTCTAGTGAAAACGTTGCGAAAAACTTCCCTTCGCTTAGGTTTCGAGCGTCAAATGTTAACAGTTTGAGGATCAACCTCCCCAAGCATGTATTATCGACTCTTTTTCCTCCCCCCGTTTTATATAGTTTTCCTCCCCCGCGATAAATATAATTATTTAGAATTTTTTAATTCAATTTGTATTTTGACGGGTCACAAAATTAGTTAAACTGACTTTTTAATTATGTTTCGATAAATAAATCTGTTATGTAGGTGTTTTAACATTCTCTTCATAGTTTTCAATTTGGGTGGGAGGGGGAACTGTGCGGTTGATCCCAGTTTGCGAATAAGCTTGATTATGGTGTAATAAATTTGGTTGTGGTTTGTATGTTAAGAGGATAATGTGATAATGAGCTTGTGTGAGGCTTGTAGGAGCAGATCAGTGGGCTGCGCTTCCGCATCTCTGGCAACTGCAAGGAGGGTGAATTGAGGAAGGGCAAGATTAGGGAGGAGAAGGAAGTGATCAAAGGCCAGTTCATGCAGCTGAAGGAGCAGATGACCCACATGAGGCAGGGCGAGCGAGAGAAGCTGATCAAACTGACGGTGGAGAGTGCCGCCTGCGAGAAGGAGCTGGACCGGAAGCTGGAAAAGATGCAGAGGTAATCATCCATCCAGCATCATCGCAACAAGCGCCTCCAGTTTTCTTAATTAACTATTTCAACACAAGCGAAGCTGAGCTTCGCATCACTTGCGATACAAAACAAAAAAATGAAAGAAAAAAATGGAAAAGGTCAAAAAACTATATCTATTAAAATGAATCAGGCTAGTTTTAAAACAGAAACATGGCAATTCAATAGATGTATAATAAGCATCAGAAGATAATGTACCCAACGGTAACCGCCAAAAAAATACCTTGTCAGAAACCCTTCAAGCCGAAAAAAAATCAACAAGACTTCAGACTTCTGAAAAGTTAATAAGACCACCTCACCCTCAAAACACTTCATTTTCTCGTCACAAGAATTAATATGAGGACACTTAGCCGATGTAATATAGGCCGAAATCTTTTAAGCCCAAAAAAAAAGAAAATAAAAAAGCCGAAAAAAAATCATTAAGACTAAGAAGATGTTAAGTCCACCTCAAGTTCAAATCAGACACGCACACACAAAACTGTTTTCGATTGTCAAAAGACGCAATGAAAGGCCAATAAGCCAATACATTATACGTAGCAACCTATAAAGCCAAAAAAGGAAAACAAATAAAAAAGCCGGAAAAAATTGTTATCATGAAAAACTTGAACTATATCTCTTCTAAGAAATTTTGCGCGATCCACAGGTGAGCATATAAAATATGTTTTCACTGAAGCGGATCGAAATTAGGTCACTAAGCCGATAAAAAATAGGCCGAAATCATTTGGGCAGAATAAAGTTTTTAAACGAAAAAATGTAAGTTTTCCAACATGTATATATTATAAACGATGTCAATTTTAGTAAAATTTACTAACAGCAGAGGTTAATCAGAACGCTAAAAGCAACTATAATGTAAATAAATTTTTTTTAAAAATCTATAATATGGCGACAAAATTTTAGCAGATATTAATAAGCCAACAATTTTTTTTGAAACTGACTATTAACCGTTTGAAAACAAAGGGATCGGTCAGTTTCGAACCCAGGACCTTTGCCGTCCCAGGCGTAGTGGTTACCTGCAGACTAAGTGTTCCGGAGACGCTTAGAAAAAAATTGAATTCATTATGAACCAAGAAACCAATTGATTCAAGTGATTTTGTTAATCAAGCTGTTGACCCGAAAAAAGTCTTAGATTCTAGTTTGATAACGCTTGCTAATCGCAAGCCTAATGAAATGACGAATTGTAGCTTCAGTTTCATATATATCATTCAAAGCTTTATGGTCTCGTCATCAAAATGTTGCAAGAGCTCGTTGAGCTAGCAAAACAGAATTAAGAAAATGGTCGCCGCCATAGTGCAAGTATTTCATATTTTGGATATGCTTATTTAGTTTCATTAAACTATAATAGTTTCATATAAAAATGGAAATGATCGGGAATGGCAATGGTCATTCCTATAAATGTTCTTGCTGCGAATCAACAATTGCTGACGATGATGATGTGCTATCCTGTGATATGTGTCGATCACGATGCATCAAGGGAGCCTGTATTGGATTAACCTCTGCAGCTGTGACATGTGGTTCAATTCAGTGGAGGTGCCCAGACTGCTCTAAGATAAGTACACTGTCCATTTTCGAGCAAATTTTGTTAAAGATGAACAAAATTGATAAACTTGAAAAAGACCTAGAGAGCCTGAAATCGGAAAACTTTACTTCGAAACCAGAGACGTTTGCAAATGTAGCGAAATTGAACAAAAGTTGTCCAAGTGGCATTATAAACCCTTTCCGAAGGAACCAACGAGCTGATAGTACTTCGTCCCAAGTATCTGTTACACGTACTGAGAAACGACGGCGGACTTCGCCTGTGAAGGTACCGGTTCTTGTTGGCACATCGGCTGCATCTACAAGCATTTAAGGTGTGAAACCTTCGGAGCGGGAGGAAAGAAGGCATTATTTCCTTAGCCGAGTTTCTTCTACTGTTAACACGACCATGCTTAACGATTACTGCAAAGAAAAGAACCTTAGTCTTCTTGGTTGCCGTGAGCTGCCTTCAAAAAGGGCAGATATGAAATCTTTCCATGTAGTCATTCCAGTGAATGAAAGTATCGTAGCCGAGAAAGCAGAGACTTGGCCTGAGAATATTATAGTACGTCGTTATTTCCTGAACGAAGAAGCCAGAGCTTGGCTGAAATCGCTCAATTGACAATCAGAGACGAGTATTCATGTTTGTGCACTGTGGAATGCTCGATCGATATGTAATAAGACGGATTCAATTTATTCGTACCTACATGCAAATGAAGTCACTTTTCTTGCAATTACTGAAACTTGGTTATCTGAAGATAGCTTATTTTACGTAAATCTTGCGAAGCCTTGTAATTATAACTACATTGGTAACAATCGTCCCACTCGGGGTGGGGACATTGGAATTTTCTGTCTCAACACTTTCCGAATTAAGCTAATTGAGGAGTCAATTAGTGATATTTGGGAATTCTTGGTCGCTGAACTTACACTTACAGACATGAATGTATGCATCTTTGTTTTATATCGCTGCCCTAATTCTTCATGTTCAATTTTCCTAAATGAATTGGTTGATCTGGTTACACATTGTGCGCTACAATACAAATGGTGTTACATTATTGGGGATTTCAATATTCCAGTTAATAAGTCGTGTAATTCTTCTGAAGCCTTATTATCTAGTATGGAGGAAATGGGTTTTTATCGATACAGTTCTGGCCCCACTCACGTTGGTGGCAATGAACTAGATTTGGTATTCTTCAACCATAGGGTTACAAATTTTGTCGCACTCGACATAACACTAGCTTCAGACCATTACTGTGTTACATTGATTATTAATTCTTCTGCAGTGACTATTGCACCCTCCAACGTCAATTTAAAAGTGAAATGGCTTTGCGATCAAGCTGATCGTGTTTCCATTTTTAATTCTATTTTAACTGAGACTTCTGCAATTGCTAAGTCTGATTTTATTTTACAATCAAACTGTCCTTCAATGATTGTTAACTCGTTATTTAATACCTTCCATGATGCATCTGTCCTGAGAAGTGAAATTGTAACTGTTAAAAAGAAGATCAGTCGTGATGGTAAACCCCGTTACTACGATGCTGAATGCGAAAGGGAAAAAACGAAAGTTGGAACGCGAAGTTAGGAAACATGACACCCCGGAAAACCGTGAAGCGTACCGAGCACAAGTCGCTTACTACAGATCTGTACTTTCGATAAAACGTAATGATTTCTATACTCTCAATTTTTCTTCTAAGAGCTCGAAAATGATTTTTTATTGCCTTAATGAACTGATGAATCACAAGAATGATACACTTCCTGTGAACTCATCTACTTTCGACCTAGCAAACAGGTTCAACATTTTCTTTAAGAAAAAGGTAAACGACATAGTTGATGAACTGCCTAAAACTAATAGTAGCCTGGATTGCACGTCAAATGATCTAGTCGTATGGTCTGAGTTCGCTAGTATTTTTCCAATAGATCTACTCGACGTATTAGATGATTTACGGACCTCAGAGTCACCTGTGGACATTATTCCTACTCGGTTCTTAAAAAATTTTATTGCCGAGAATATACAATTTTTTACAGATCTTTTTAATTGCATTCTGTTTTCTGGCGTTTTTCCTGATGTTTTTAAACAAGGAGTCATCACACCACTTCTAAAACATGGCCTAAACCAAGAAACTATGTCAAGTTATCGCCCGATTACTAATTTGTCAGCATTGTAAAAAATTACTGAAAAGCTTGTACTTTCACAGATGAGTGAACATTTAACCTCAAATCGGCTTTGGCCTCAATTTCAGTCGGCTTACCGTAAAGGTTATTCAACAGGGAGTGGTCTCTTGCTCTGTTCTGATTATATATATTCTAAAATTGATTCGGAAAAGTGTTTTTACGTTGTTCAAATGGATTTTTCTGCTGCGTTTGATACAATTGACCATTCATTGTTATTAAAGATTCTTGAAAACAAAATTGGTATTGCGCACACAGTTAAACAATTCTTTGAAACTTATCTTAGTAACCGCTTTGTACAAGTTTTGGTAAATAGTAGTCTGTCAGACGAAATTCAGGACGAAACTGGAGTCCCACAAGGCTGTTTTGGGGCCGATTTTATTCATCCCTTATTTACAACCTCTTCTTGATTACCTTATTGATAGCAACATTGCGTACCACTTTTATGCCGATGATACCCAACTGTTTTGGGAGATTAATCTCATGCAAAATAACCACAAACTAGAAAACATTGAAAAATTATGCTCCCAATTGCACTTAAGTCTTAATAAAAACGATGGAAAAACAGAAGTAGTGTTTTTCGGTAGACAACTGCATCACGATTATTTAAAGCCAGTGAAAATTTTTAATAAAGAAAAGGTTCCTAAATGCTTTACCAAACTTTTGGGGTTCTACCTTGATTACAACATGTCATTTGAGAAGCAAATAAACCATTGTTGCAAGTTATGTTATTTAGAATTGCGTAAATTATATTCCATTCGACGTTTTCTGACTTTAGACCAAAGAAAAATGTTTGTTACTAGCTTTATTCTGTCAAGGCTTGACTATTGCAATGCGTTATATATGAAAGTGAATAAAATTTTATTTATTAAACTACAGAAAGTTCAAAACGCTGCCGCCAGGTTTGTTTTAGGTGCTACGAGGAGAACAGCATCAACAAACGAGTTACTGAAGAAATTGCACTGGCTTCCAGTTTACCAAAGAATTAGGTTCAAAATATGCTGCTTTATGTTTCGCGTGTTTCACAATTGGAACTGTGCCGATTATTTATACAATCTTTTCAAAAAGAATTCTGCTTCTGTCAACCCTTCGCGCAGACAAAAGTTTATCCTTCCGAAATGCAGAACAGAATTTACCAAAAAGAGCATTGCCTACCAAGGAGCTGTTATTTGGAACTCACTGCCTGTTCTCTTATCAGATATTATTGATTTTACGCTGTTTAAACGAACCCTGAAAACTGTTTTATTCTGTGAGGCTTTGTGAGCCTTCTACCACTCTTGGGTTCAAGAAAGAGTGGTAAAGCCAATCATCATCATTATTATTTGTAATTTCCCCCATGTCTCAAATTAATAGACTAAACAGATAAATTAACTGCGGAATCAAACTTTCAGCAGCTGAATTATTCATTACCCAACATAGCTGTACTAGAATGTTTGATGTGGCGAAACATATTTAGACAATTGAAATCGGTAGGGCGTATAACTATAACCGAATATCTGAAAATAACTGAACGCGCAAAACAAATGAAACAAATTAGATTATCGGAAACACATTGTGTGGAAAGAAATTTGCAGCAAACAATAGTTGTAATAAATGGAAATATTTAAACTTGAAGCTGATAAACGCTCTAAATATAAATTTGAGTTTGAACTTAAAAGTTTTGATAGACGTGCACGAATAAATTCCTATTGATGTAAAAATGTAACCGGAATTGATTTGCTGTGATTCTGGAATTCGTTTATGTTGCTGAAGAGCAACTGCACAATGCGTGTATTAACGTTGGCTAGCTAGCTGTGTTTCACTGTGCTTTGTGCAGGAACGTCATTACCGTTAAACGGAACAGATTGAATCCGGAGTTATCGGAAAAACTGGTTTTTGCTCCATGATAGCATTCCACTTCTGAATCAATAATTCAAGTGTTTCAAAGCTAGTTATTTTTGTCGAAAATAGTAAAATCGTTCACGAAATTCCGGAATTTTCCGGTATTTTTACCGGAATCGGTACATCTATAATTGATAGATCCAATAAGTCTTGTCGAGATCATTTTTATATCTAAAAATAGTATTGATTTATTAGTTTTTAGACAATTTATAGTTGTATATTTGCATGCCGGTGTAATTGTTGTTTTTAAATTTATTATGATAATTTCATTTAGTAGCAGCGTGGATGTTTCACCCATTGGTTATTTTGAATTTACATGTTTGTAAAAAACATATTTTGGACCATCTTTCTTTCAGGATTAGACAAGGTTTTGATTTTTGATTGTTTTTAGTGATTTTTAGTGAAGTTTCAAAAAGTCATTTAGCAAAAATTAGGTGACATTTTTTAAAGAGGCATTAATTTATCAACAAGCGAATCAATCTCTAATGAATTAACAGTATTGTTTGTGCTTTGTGTATAGGCTGATGAAGTTGGGGGAGCAGGCGAGGAGGTTTGAGACGGAGGAGGAGAAGGTGTTACCCTTCTATGCCACCACTCTCTCGGACGAAGAACTGCGAGATGTACAGGAAGCGCAAGGCGAATCGCCACAGGAAGAATTGGCTAAGGTACAGTAAAATCTATAGTTGAATTATGCCGTGGATAATTACATTAGTCAGAAGCAATTTCACCAGCTGTATGGTATATTTTTAAAGATACTTTTCAAGTGTCAAGTTAGAGATTGTTGGGAAACGTGGCAATTATAAAGAGTGTGGCGACAGACGGCTATCAATTAACTATTTGGAATTAATGCTAGATCTCTCTGTTTTAGGCCATGCTCGACTTCCAAGGGCTGGATCCGTTCTGGAAGAGATACAACAAGGTGTTGTTCGACAGGCTGGCGCTACAGAAGGAGCAGAGTTTGCTGCTGCAGGTGAGAAGACAGCGAAGTCAATGAGTCACCTAGCCATTGTAGGGAGGGCGTTCGAGTGGCAACTAGGTATTCAATTATTATGTGATGGGGCGTGTTTAGGAGAACCAGCAGCTGCGCATGGTGTTGAAGCAATACCTGGACGGCATCTCAGTCAACGACGAGATCCTGAGCAACGTCAACCCACTCTTCGTTGTCAACCAGAAGACCAACGTCAAGTTAGTATGCGCTTCACGTAGCGCAGCTTTTTGCACGTGAATACAATACTTTCAGGATAATTCTTTATTTTTGCTTTCAACCCGTTGGGGGATCATTTTCAAAAGTTTAGAAATCTACGCTTCTGTAATTGACGAAATAATGCTCAAAAGTTGTGACCCTAGAGTGTAATTGGTTTGGTGTATTTAGCCTCAATGTGGCTGCGATCGACCCCCGACTTAGTCTGCAGAACAAGAGTGCAGGCAAGCCAGTGGTCATCGAGGCCTCCACTGCCGCCAAACACCTCGAGCCACCAGCCTACTAACTGGTACATGAAAGACAGAAGTTTCCCTTCAACAACAAAGTCTTAAAGACAGACGAACGGCTTCTGCATCTATCCACGACTCAATCGATCTTTCTGAATGGAACTGAGACTCAAAATCATGTCTATTGTATAAAATGTAAATTTAACTGTATCATAACCTCAAATATTCGCAAAAAAATTGCCAACATGTTTTTGAAAAAAGATGAAGGTCTGACAATAAATATCGAAACGAAACTTTGAATAGGCAAATTTTTCATCCAGAAAATGTTAAGGACGATTGCGTGTTAATTACACAAGCAAAGCTTGTGTGATAGTATGAACTCTCTTTTTTAACGTAAGTAGCAAATGTTAGAGTTCATTTTGAAAGTGTTCATCTTGGTCAATAACCAGCTATTAAATACAGCCAATGCTAAGGATATTAACACACTATTATATTACAAATAGCACTTTAGCTTCAAAGTGTCATGAATCTGTAGAGTAGAGGTAGGGAAGTAGACCCGCAACGAAATAACAGGGTTCGAACCTGAGCAGCATCGGATGTTTTAAATGAAGTTTTTCGTATACTAGTTAAAATGCGCCCGCTCTACAAATTGAGGAATGTTAGTTGGTAAAGTTGTTTTTCTGAGTGGTTTTTTTTTCAATTGAATAAAATTGAGTGGTACTGCTAATGCGTCACAATTGGCTGGCATCACTTAACAATTATGTAGACTCAAATTGACGTGCGTCACCTAAGAAATTTTGTCGACTCAAAGTTTTACGCATTCAATTTTTCCCAGTAGCTTATCATATTTTTCCTTGTGTATGCGAAGCGCAACTTCGCCTATATGTTACACTTGCGAAGCGAGTGTATTAGTTAGAACCTCCTATTTTTTCCTTCCTAAGTCGCAAGTATTGGTGCCACTTAAGGGTCGAATAGTAAACAGTTAACAGAGTTGATGCATTTTTAGTTCAAATGAACCGAATGATTTAATTCAAACCAAATATGAAAAATGAAAACGCGATTTCAGAAAGTTTATGACTCAATATATCTCGCAATTTTTTAAAATTCAAAATTTACACTGTGGCTTTATGCTTTGCATTTTGTGAGATGAAAATTTAGTGTGGATGTCTTCAGTTATAATCCAAATTATTGCTTGCAAAAATAAATCTATTTGCATTTGGTGCCATTTTTGCTGACTTGCATTGCCAATTTATTAGCATATGTAGCTGTTTATTCATGATAAGTGGTTGTCGGTTGTTAAGCTTGCGTGGCTGACTAGATAGTGCGATAGACTCAAAATCTCTTGATCGCAGTAGGTCTCGGATCGAATCATGTACCTAGCCGAGTGTTTGCTATTTCGAGATTTCTGTTTTTTTTTCTTGCAATTTCTAGAGCTGCATTTTTGGTCGTGCTCTCGCAAGCGTTTGCAAAACGCAGCTTCGCCTCTGTTAACAGAGCTTTTTCACTCGTTTAGGGTCTTAAAAATTCATTATAAATGAGTAATTTTTCTCAGAAAGATTGCTCAGAATGAGTCTTTTCTTTTGGCAAGGAGTTTTTGAAGCTTTCAATGTGGAGGTCAACATAAGTTCTTTTGAAAGAAAACTCAAAATGGCAATAACAGTAGTGTAAAAAAACGCGTAACTCCTTGTGTAAGACTGCAGCCATGAATCATGCGATTACTCATTTTAATTGTCAAAATTGAAATATCCAGTATTGGGTTGGGCTTTTTTGACAGGAAAAAATCGTAAGTTACTTTTCCATTTCCTTTTAATTTTCTCAGTTTGCACGAGCGAACGTAGTGTATTAATACGACTATTATTTTACCCCAGCCTAAGTGCCAAATTTTTATGCCAATTTGAGTTGAATTTTTCGGCTTTTTGCTAGCATGTGCTTTGTCATTCGAGACGTAGTAAGTTAACGCATGCGTAATAGTTTTACACATTTTTGCATGTTTATTTCATCAAATGAATCGAAAAAAGCTATTTGTTACAAACAATAATAAGAACTCAATTTCAGAGGTTTTCTTATTCAAAACTTATTTGGCTTTATGCTCTTTAATTAATTACAGGCAAAGAAAGCGTGGGGACTCTGCATATCCTGATTGTAGAATTGAACCCAGCTCAGCAGAAACTTTAATTTTTCAAAGCTTGTGTTTACTTTTTCCTGTCTTATTTAACTTAGCAGAGCTAATTTTTTGTCGTTTTTCTTGCTAGCGTTTGCGCAGCGCAGCTTCTGTGTTGACTTATGATTTCATTATTATTAAAAAAAAAGAAAGTGAAATTTTGCTCTCCAATGATGGAAAAGCGAATGAAACAGAACTCGATATGGAGTTCAAAGTCTTAAAATAGACTTAGAATTTTAAGTTTTGCCACCAAATAAAAAACACCTTTTGATCCAGTTTTTTAGCAAAATGGGGCACTTTTATTCAAAATTACACCAAACAGTTTTTGACATTCAAAAATTCATAATTTAAGAACAATGAATCTAATGAAGACTCTTATATAGGTTTTGGTGATTTTTTTTCAGGAAACATATCTTAAAAAACTACTTGAAACTCATCTGGATAAAAAGACGTAAATGACGTAATTTAAGACTAATGAATGTATTGAAGATTCTTTTATAGGTCTTGGTGATTTTTTTTTCAGGAAACATATCTTCAAAAACTACTTGAAACTCATCTGGTGAAAAATACGTAAATAACGCTTTCAAAATACGAACGTGAAAACGAATGTGAACGATTTCTAGTTTCAAAAGTAGAATTTAATTACACCGAAGACTTTAGTCAAGGTGTTATGGTATCGTGTAACGGGGTTTTTTTTTTAATGTTGTCGACAAATAACGTCCACAGTTATCAATTATCATGTGGGCTGGACTATATCGCGCTATGTCACGTGATTGCGTATGTTTGTTTCTTTATTTGTTCATCTTTATTTATTTGATTATCTGTTCTTCTATTTATTTAATTATGTTTAGTTTGCTTATATTTATTTATAATTTATGTATGTACATATTTATTTTTGTTTATTTTTATCACGTGTTTTGTTTATTTATTTAATTATTCTTTCTTTCATTTAGTTTTGCTTTTATTATTTCTGCGTGTGTATTTATTTAATTTATTTATTTTCATTTATTTATATTATGGGTCTGTTTGTTTGGTTATTTGTTCATATATATTTTATTGTATACATGTGTTAGTACCATTTTTAGTTCTCGAACTGTTATTCCATGATCTTTGTCAATGTAGCAAAAATTTGGTGTATACATGTGTTAGTACGATTTTTAGCTCTAGAACTGTTATTCCATGATCTTTGTCAATATAGCAAAAATTTGACGTATACATGTGTTAGTACGATTTTTAGATCTCGAACTGTTATTTCATGATCTTTGCCAATATAGCAAAATTTTGGTGTATACATGTGTTTGTACGATTTTTAGCTCACGAACTGTTATTTCAGGCTCTTTGTCAATATAGTAAAATTTTGGTGTATACATGTGTTAGTACGATTTTTAGTTCTAGAAGTGTTATTTTATGATCTTCGTTGATATATCAAAAATTTAACCTATACATGTGTTAGTACGATTTTTAGTTCTAGAACTGTTATTTCAGGCTCTTTCTCGATATAGCAAAATTTTGGTGTATACATGTATTAGTACGATTTTTTGTTCTAGAACTGTTATTCTTCAATTATTAGTTGTTCAAGTTGTTTGGTTTTTGCTTCAGTTTCTATGCCTTCGGTGTATTGCGCGTAGCGCCTATGTTTATAAGATTTCCAGCGTAAAAAAACTTTCCCTGTTGATTCAGTTTTCTCAAGTTGGGTTAATTATATCAAAAAGCGCCAATCAAAAAAATTAAAGAGCATCTTTTTTTGAAATTGGAAAATTGAGAATTTTTTTTTCAAAAATATTTTTCTAATTCCTTGAACAATAAACAATTTTTGTTTGGCTGTGTTTAGTTTTCAATTGTTTCAAGTGTCTTTGTAAATAACAATAAAAGAAGCATAAAAACGTTTCTAGGTGTTTTTGTTGATGCCTTTCAGAAAAAAGGCTTGAAGTTTTACGGACGAATTCAGTCCTAAGCTTCAACGAAGTGAGAAATTATTTTTTGACCCATTGTGATTAACTTGTCTAGTTTTTACGCACACATAGGCTTGTTTTATAGTACAAATTGAATTTTTTAAATTTTTTTGGTGCTATACAGAGAGGCCACTTTCTAATTTGGTGTCTATTTCTAGTTATACATGTTGAGACTTTTGATTGTGTTTTCTCCGCTTTGTTTGTGGCAGGTGTTTGCTGAACTAAATGCCAAATTTTTATGCCAATTTGAGTTGAACTTTTTCGGCTTTTTGATAGCATGTGCTTTGTCATTCGAGACGTAGTAAGTTAACGCATGCGTAATAGTTTTACACAATTTTGCATTTTTATTTCATCAAATGAATCGAAAAAAGGTATTAGTTACAAAAAATAATAAAAACTCAGTTTCAGAGATTTTCTTACTCAAAATTTATTTGGCTTTATGCTCTTTAATTAATTACAGGGAAAGAAAGCGTGGGGACTCTACATATCCTGATTGTCGGATTGATCCCCGCTCAGCTGAAATTTTACTTTTTCAAAGCTTGTGTTTACTTTTTCCTGTCTTATTTAACTTAGTAGAGCTGATTTTTTGTCGTTTTTCTTGCTAGTATTTGCGTAGCGCAGCTTCTGTGTTGACTTATGATTTCATTACAAATAGAAAAAAAAGAAAGTGAAAATTTGCTCTCCAACGATGGAAAAGCAAATGAAACAGAACTCAATATGGAGTTCAAAGTTTTAAAATAAACATAGAATTATAAGTTTTGCCATCAAATAAAAAAAACCTTTCGATCCAGCTTTTTAGCAAAAGGGGGCACTTTTTTTCAAAATTACACCATGAACAATTTTTTACATTCAAAAATTTTTAATTTAAGAATAATGAATAAAATGAAGACTCTTACACAGGTCTTGCTGATTTTTTTCAGGAAACATATCCTAAAAAACTACTTGAAACTCATCTGGTGAAAAAGTTGTAGATAGCGCTTTCCAAATACGAACAGGAAAAACCGCGCGAAAAATGTGAACGATTTCTAGTTTCAAAAGTGGAATTTAATTATAAGATTTCCAGCGTAGAAAAAGTTTGCCTGTTGATTCAGTTTTCTTAAGTTGGGTTAATTTTATCAAAAAGCGCCAATCAAAAAAATTAAAGAGCATCTTTTTTTGAAATTGGAAAAGTGAGAATTTT